ATTAATAACATCCCGCAGCGCATACCTTATATCATCATTAATCACTTCAGAGTTGCCCAGTTACCTGATATCGACGTCAGATATCATGTAATTATCTCCTTTTGTTTACAGCGATAAATTGGTCGCGAAAGTGGAAGAACGCGGTAAAAAACTGGAATTTCAAAACGTGCAGACTTAATGACATAAACATAGGTCACAAAATGCAATTAAATGAATGATATAATTAATAACACCCTGCAGCGCGTGCCCTATATCATTATCAATCACTCCAGAGTTGCCCGAAGTTACCTGATATCGACGTCAGATATCATGTAGTTATCTCCTTTTGTTTACCGGGATAAGTTGGCCGCAAAGGTGGAGGAACGCGGTAAAAAACTCGGGAATTTCAGGACGCCTGCTCTAGCTCGCAATTGTCCGGCCGAGAGAGAGGGAAAGAGAGCCAGGCAGAGGTTGGGAGAGCAGGAAGGAGAGAGGCAGGTGAGACGGTGGGAGTTCCGAGTGGTCCAACCAGCGCGAAGGTAGCCGCGGACTGCCCACCGCGGCTCATTGGCCAACTTCGCGGGCTACGGCGAGAGAGTGTCGCATTATCACCGAAGCGAGCCCGACATGCTCCGATGCGAGCACTCTTTTCCGCGGATCTTCCCGGTGAGACAGGAGGTAAATGGATCCGGCACATAGAAACGGGCCCGGCGCGATGATACATCGAGTCGACGCGTGCTAACGAGTCCTTCGCAGGCGGAGCGGTCGACCTAACCTAGAATCCGAGGCGCGGTAAGTTCCTACGAGATCGCAATTTCATCTACACTTTTGGTTTCAGGAGATGAAACGGAGGGGAGCATACGAAGAATAGAAAATGAAGGTAAGAAGAAGATGCAAGAGGATAGAAGAAGAGAGTCGACGCGTGCTAAAGGGTCCTTTACAGGTGGAGCGGTCGACCTAACATAGAATCCGAGGTGCGGTAAGTTCCTTCGAGATCGCAATTTCATCTACACTTTTGGTTTCAGGAGATGAAACGGAGGGGAGCATATGAAGAATAGAAAATGAAGGTAAGAAAAAGATTCAAGAGGATAGAAGAAGAGAGTCGACGCGTGCTAGCGAGTCCTTCTCAGGTGGAGCGGACGACCTAACATAGAATCCGAGGTGTGGTAAGTTCCTACGAGATCGCAATTTCATCTACACTTTTGGTTGTAGGAGTTGAAACGGAGGGGAGCATATGAAGAATAGAAAACGAAGGTAAGAAGAAGATGCAAGAGGATAGAAGTAGAGAGTCGACGCATGCTAACGAGTCCTTCGCAGGTGGAGCGGTCGACCTAACATAAAATCCGAGGTGTGGTAAGTTCCTTCGAGATCACAATTTCATCTACATTTTTGGTTGCAGGAGATGAACAGAGGGGAGCATATGAAGAATAGAAAAAAAATATAAGAGGATGAAGGAAGATGAAAGGAGATAAAGGAAGATAGTAGAAGTTAGGAGAGGGATGAGCTGACTTGGACGTAAATTCGGCAGGACGCAAGACCGTCTAACAATTAAGTACCTCACCAGGTTTATCGGTTCCGATATACAATATGTAGTGCACCGAAAAAAATAAAAGACCCGCATTCGTTTATACATGCTAATCGCGAGGTGCAAAGAGAAGAAAAGCCCCCGGGTTTCAAGGAGGAGCGTCGCGGAATGTTTCGGAGGAAGGAAAATGGCGGATCTTAGGAGAAGACGAGGGCCGGCGTGTTATGGAAACAGAGTTCGAGGATAGATGCCAGAGGGGATTTTCATCGGGGGTCTCGGCAGCGGAAGTCGCGCCGATCTAGGATCCAAGATGGCGGTCCGAGCCCTTTGCTCGGCCGACGATCTGGACAAGTTCCTGGCAGATCTCCAGGAGAAGAGGCGCGAAATTCCCGTGGCCCGTAGGCCACGTAACGGTGCACGCCGTGGAATATAAATGCGTCTCATTGAGAGGAGCGAATTCCTCGGCTGCGTGCGGCCCTCTCTTCCCTCTTGTCCGGCCGGGGGCCGCAAGAGGCGCTTTTCTCGTTCCCTTTCAGCGGCCCCGGAGCAGGAGAGAGAAGGAGGAGAGGAGAGTCCACGGGAGCGGACGGTCCCTGTCGACTTACAAATTATACGCGCTCCCCGAGATTTACGGTGACGCGAGAGCGAGACCATTGTCCGTCCTCGCTCACTTCTTTACTTCTTTACCCCTTTAACTCCTCGGCTGAGGCCCGCGGTCCGGTTTCCCCGGGCCCACTGTGCAATGGGCCCAGCCACCGGACGACGGGCCCAGAGTTCCCGCGAAAAAACCCGGGAATGCCGGCAGACCCAACGAGCCCGCTCCCGCGACGCTCAGCGCCGATCCGACGTCGACGTCGCGACGACTCCGATGATCGAGGGGCCCCGAGTCCCAATTTCAGGGCCTGGGCTGGGACCGGAATGTCTCGCTTTATTTCACGACCTCGGCACATGAAGTATTGTCTCTTTTTATCGGGGCCTCTTGGACGATTTCGTCGGTCTGGTTGGAACTGGGCCTCCCGGGGCCTTAGGCTGAGCGAAGGCGCGGCTCCTCGATCTCGATATATTTATCATACGTGCCGGCTCGACACTTTTCGGTCACTTCCACAAACAATCTGGAGTGGAGTCCAGTCGGAACGGAAACGACTCAGGACGGCAGAAATCCTTTTTAAATCGTGGACAAATATTTGAGGCCCCTCGAGAGCCGCGGCGGGGCCTCAGGCAAACGAGGGGCCCGGGCCCCTAGATAAGTCTTCCGAAATTTCTCGGGAGGAAGTCTTCGCCTTCGGGAAACCGCGACAATTTACGCCGACGCGCGAACCGGTCTACTCGAATTAGGAGATTTATATGGAATTTCTTTGAAATTTCTCTAAAATGTATAGAATTTCTTTTCGTTCCGCCAATTATGAGGCTCTGCGCGTGTGAAGTCCATCTTTATGCCGGGGCCCGTTGACAAGACCACCTTGATAAGACCTATCTCCGTGTAAACGTTTGCACCCAACTCGGGAGGACGCGCGTTATTATTTACGAGCGTGGAGATATCCAGCATGCGATTTTCGCCACGAGAGGAATTTCGCGACATTCTTGGATTCCAGTTAAACGGAACCAAAATGGCTGCCGAAATGGTCCCATGTAATAGCCGAGTACTGCAACGTTTCAAACGCTTCTAACAATGTCTCCAACAAAATGCAAAAAAATGTAACACGCCTAATCGACGACAATGTGTAATAGTATTATGAAGATGCAAGAAGCAAAGAGCAAAGTTTCACTAAGGAAGATGGAAAAATATACGATTCAAAATAAGATAAAAAGTAACCAAAATGCGATTACCGCCACGACAAAAGTAGAGAAATTTCGCGACATCTTCAGATTCCACCAAAACGGAACCAAAATGGCTGCCGAAATGGTCCCATGTAATAGCCGAGTACTGCAACGTTTCGAACGCTTCTAACAATGTCTCCAACAAAATGCAAAAAAATGTAACATGTCTAATGTGCAATAATATTACGAAGATGTAATAAGGAAAGAGGAAAATTTCGTTGATAGTCGTGGAAAAATACGGGTTTCAAGTTAAGGTGGAAAATTCGCAAAGAGAAGCTGTCTCCGTGACTCTAGTAAAAGAAGTCGTGGTAACTCTTCACGAGGAAGTGTTTTTGGGAAACGAAAAAGCCGCGTTTGGAGATCAGAAGAGGCGCTCAGTGTGGGAGTTGCGTAAGATCGGAATATTCCAAATAAAACGGCTCTCGATCTTCGAAGAAACTCGTCGTGTCGCACATAGAATTGTTTATACACGGCAACTCCGACCTTAGCCGAGAAGAGCCGCCGGTGTTACTCGTCTCTCTAGGTGAAGTACCCGCTAACGGAGGCTGTGCATCGCAGACGACTGCTGTTTGTTTGAGGCCGGGCTTTTATGGCTATCACGTGCTACCGTGGGCTGCTTTTCGTCCTCCTCTCCCTGTGCGAGACTCGTTTCCTTGTTTCCCATTCTTTCCCCGAAGCGCGAGACATCGCGTCGATCTTCGGATGCTTCGAGGAAGAATATAGAGGACGGAGCCGAGAAGGAGGAAGAAGAAACGAGGACGAATTCGGAGATCATTAAAATCTGATTTATTCAGCAGGTTAGATTAGGTTAGGAAGCCTGGGAGAGGTCTCGAAGAAGCAAGGATCCATCATGGATCTTTAAGAAGGATCGATAAAGTGGTTTGGAAGATGCCACGTAATTTCGCGAGTGTTCTTCGAGTATGAAGCAAGGAAATGTATCCTTTCTTGATCGGATCTGATTTATTAATCAGGTTAGATTAGGTTAGGAAGCCTGGAAGAGGACTCGAAGAAGCAAGGATTCATCATGGATCTTCAAGAAGGATCGATAAAGCAGATTTGAAGTTGCCAGCTGATTTCGCGAGTGTTCTTCTAGTATGAACCAAGGAAATGTATCTTTTCCTGATCTGATCTGATTTATTAATCAGGTTAGATTAGGTTAGGAAGCCTAAGAGAGGACTCGAAGAAGCAAGGATCCATCATGGATCTTTAAAAAGGATCGATAAAGCGGATTGGAAGTTGCCACGTAATTTCGCGAGTGTTCTCCAAGTGTGATCCAAGAATAAGAAACTTATCTTTTCTTCGAGGTTCTCTTCAGGTATTCTTTCTGGATTTTCATTGGCACTTTCGAAACGTTTCAGAAGCGGACGCAGGAGAGGATGGCGCGCAAGAAGAAGCGAGAAATTGGAAATATTCGCATTTATTTGAGAAAAATCTACGAGAAATAATGCTGCAAAGCCAGAAGCTTCAAGAAGCTCTTCAGGTACTTATTGTGGATATCCTCCAGCGCTTTAAAAACTCCATGAGTCGACTGAATAAAAGAAAGCGGCGAGCAAGAGGCGAGAGATGAGCAAATTTCGAGCGATTTGTCCAGGAAATTCCTGAAGGAGGTGCCAAGGAGAAAGCCGATGAGCAAAGAGCTGAACGAAGCTGGTTAGGCGACCTCAGGGTCGGGACTCACCAGAAAGAGCCGGTGATGGGGGTGACCAGGAGGAGGCAGATCGCCACGAAGACAGGGCGCATCTCCACCCTCTCCCTCGCCTGGCGAATTTCGGGAAACTTCCAGGAAGCGGTTCCGTCTTCAAGGTCCCTACGAGTCCTGGGGTCCTCTTCTAGGCAGCGACGCGGCGCAGGGACGAGCTCCTACGAAACTGGACCGATCTTCTGCCCTCACCTGCAGAGGTCGATATCGAGCCAGGGGTATCCGACATAATTTGCCGAGATACCCAGGTGAGACCTAAGACGTGGACCAGGTAACCGCTTCAAAGCTGCGACTTCCCCAAATTACCAGCTTCAGGATTTTGGGTCCGCAATTAATTTCCGGTCCCTTAATCGGAGTATCCTGAGGTTCCCTAGGTGTTCAGGTACAGGTGCACGTCTATAGCCGGCGTTCCACGTTCCCTCGAAAGCCCTTGAAGATCATCCTCGTAGTCTTCAAGGCCGTCTTCCAGAAGTGGGCCCAACGTTCTTCAACGACACCTCAGGGTGGAGGATCACTTTCCAGGGTCATCAGCACCGATCCTCGACGGCCAAAGAGGGAAGAGGGTGCCGGTCCCGACGTTGAAAACACCTGCCACCACGTTTCGGAGAACCTCGGGGACCGATGGGGCCTCTTCGCCGGGAGTCCCAGAAGTCCTTTCCAGATGCCGGGTCCAGGTGCCCATGCGAGTCGCGACCGTCTCTTGCTCCGCCGCCGAGGGTGTCAGGAGCACCCCCGAACTCCGCAGCACCAAGGGTGCCCAGCCGATGTGCGCAGGTCCCGCTGGTCCGGGACTTCCGGCGACGTCCTGCCCGGTGATTTCCCAGGATTCTGCAAAAACGCGCCTCGACAGTGTTCCTGCCAGAACTACGTCACCGCGGTCTTTGAGTGCAGCCTTACCCCCACCCCGGGGCCCGGAGCTGCCCCCACCCCGAAGCCACCACCACCGCCACCATACCACCACCACCAGCACCACGCCGCCTCCAACTATACGCGCTGCTGCGAGGAAGGTTCACTATGGCCCCGGGTGTTTCCTAGAGCGAAAGGGACCGGGTTGGTGAAGGTCAGGGGTGGTAAGGCCCACGGGGCCTGGGTCAAGGTTGGAGAAACGGACGAAGGTTGGGTCTAGGTCGCGGTAAGGGTCGCAGGCTGGGCTCTGGAAACCTGGAAAAGGGCGAAGGAGAGTCAGAGATGGAGAAAGAGCGAGACGAAGAGAGACAAGGGCGATCAGACTGCGATCGCCGACACAGGCTCCGAGGGAACGCGTGCGACTGTGGACTCCGTGGACTTAGGCAGGTGAGCGCCGCTCGGCGGCGAGCCGGCACACCATCTCCCTCTTCGCCTCCTCCGGACCCCGAGAGAGAGTCGCTCGCGTCCCGGGTACCCAGGGATGCCTGGGATGCTGCGGAGAGAGATGCGCCGCCGGCGCGGGAGGGAGAGAGGAATAGAGACGGGAATAGAGAGGAGGCAATGAGCGAGACGAAGGATGAAGCGCTCTAGGCAGAGTTTGGGCGGAGAGACGTGGGCGGGGGGAGGGGAACAGGAAGACCAGGTCGTCGCCGACTCGGCGTCGGTCCCCGAGGCCCTAGGGCGGGCCTTGAGGCTCTGGGGTTAAGGGTCGAGCAGGGTCACCTGGCCACCTGAGTGAGTCGCCGGGCCGAAGGTGGACGAGGTCGAGCTCGGGCATGGCAACACCGTGTCGGGCCCCTCGGCGGACTCGTAAGACCCATTTTTGAAAACCTGAGAAATGGACGGGTGAAGTCGGTTGCGTGGACCGAGTCTATTAGGAGGGATAAGGAATTGTAGAAAAATTTGAGTGATCGGAAATTGGGCCTGTGGGCCCATGGTTGGGCGCGTTGGACCCATTCTTTCGGCCTCCCACGGGGTAATCGAAATTGTGGGACCACGAAGCCAACGGCTGAACTCGTAAGCACGGCGACCTCGCGGTAGGTGACTAGTCGAGGGCCCATTTCCCGGGCCCGTAGGGCCCCTGGCGCGGCTCGGCAGCCGCAGCCCTCTTTCTCTCTCTCTCCGTTCCTCTCTCAGCGCTGGGAACGAAAGAGGTGGAGGCGCAGCGCGTGCTCTTGAGGTCGGCGTGTGGCCGAGCCTTTCATCTCCGCCGCCGTGACAAAGCCGCGAATACCTCGCCGGGGACTTAAGGCCCAACGTTTGCCAATCCTCTAGTCCGATTCCTTGCTGTCTCCGACTGGAATATCTATGAAAACTCCGGGGCCTGACTCGGTTTTAAAATCTCCGCTCGGGAGCGCGATGACCCTATCGGGCCAGAATGGGCCCGATTGGGCCCGATCGGACTCATCGTGCCAGTCGGATATATACCTCAGGGCCTCACAGGGGGAGGGGACCAGCCAGCAGGAGTCCGTATTACAGCTCATTTAGTAGCGGGCTCCTACGGCCCATTCTTCGGGCCCTCCTCGAGAGTTCCACTCGCTTGGAACAGGTCCGAGGACCTACCGGCGCGGATCTGGGCCCAGTTTCGGTTCCCATAGGGCCCCGCGGGGGCTCGGGCCCAGGAATCGACCACTCGGATGCACTCTCCCGCGGGGTGGCGAGTTATATCGACCCGACTCGAACACCCTGAAACTCGAGAACGCCGACCCCGTCTCGCTCGTGCTCGATCGGGCCCTAGGACCTCCAAGCTTCGATTGGGCCCTAGGGTCCCCAGGCCTAGATCGGGCCCCTAGACGGCGTCCCAGAATTCCGACGACACGTCCTACCGTGCGCAACCATCCGATCTATAATTGCCCAGAAATTCCATAAACTTTCGTTTCATCAACGCGTTCGTCGTTTGAGAAATCGCTCGCCTCTCACTTTATCCGAGAAGAGCGCTAACTAAAAGTGCGCCTTAACATCCAAAGATGGCGGATGAAAGGAGTCACGATGGACGCTGCTCGGGTGCCGTAATCGCGGAGGAATTGCGCAACTTGCGCAATCCGTACCGAGGGTTTGCAACGTAAAGTGCATTCTCGAGAATGCAGTCCTTCACGGATACCCTCTAAGACCGAAGTCGGGCCGAAAGAAAAGGGGCCCGAAAAATGGTCGATCGAGTCTTGTCTCATTATCGGAGTAAATGGACCCCCTTAAGGACCGATTAAAGACCACGTGACTAAAGTCACGCCGCTCTTAGTTTAAAATCCTTCTTAATGATCGGATGCCTTAAATCGCAATTAATTGCGGCGCACTTTCTCCGCGGGAAATTTGTGTAAAAACTCGATCACCGGGTACGCACATGAAAGTAATAACGAGCTCCGTGCGCGCCATTATCGCGAGTTGCACAACGCACCGAGGTCAGGAGTACTCGGAGGGTAATTATCGTGCGTTGGGATAAAGAGAGGCACAGAGAATCTGAGGAAAAATGGATTTCTGAAATTACACCCTCGATCGAGTGGCTTATGCATGAGTAATTACAGATGTTACATCAACGCACAAGTGAACGTGCGCGGCAACCGATCTTAGTCATGGATCGAGTTTATTTTCGTGAACCCCTTTTGTACTTGAAACGCTGTCATAATTTTGTTTTTTTTGTTTCTACATGTTTTAGGGGAAGTCTGTATAAACTCATCTCTCGACGATGACCATTATTACTGAACCAAGGCGCGCGAGTCCCAGTTCCGCTTTCATCTTCACCCTCCACGAAGGCGAGGAAGAGGAGGGTAAAAGCAGGCGTAAAAGTTGGCAGCCTGGTGGCTGGCATTGTAAACGTAACACTTGTAACCGCGACCACTTAGTGCGCCGCTTTCATCGGGCTTTTCATTTGACTCCACGCATGACGCCTCTGGAAGAGCGGCCATAACTCTTCAGGGCCGCGGATTCTCCTTGCGTCTGCATGCGATGCATGGTAGAGCTGGCCCTATCGTTCCTTTTCATGGTTTTCATGGTTCCACGTCCATTTAGGGATGTCTCGTAGTCATTTTATTTTTCCAGCAGGACGGAAAAGTCCTGAAAGGGTGAGGACCAGAATCAGATGGGCAGCTGCGAGGTGATCGAAGACAATTTTCCACTAATTGCCGCTCGGGCGGTGCAGGAGGTTTTGGGTAAGTCCAGTGTTTCCCTGGAGAACGGTGGAGATGCATGGCAGAGCTGGTCCTATCGCTCCTTTTCATAGTTCTACGTCCATTTGGAGATGTCTCGTAGTCATTTTATTTTTCCAGCAGGACGGAAAAGTCCTGATAGGGTGGGGACCAGGATCAGCTGGGCAGCTGCGAGGTGATCGAAGACAATCCTCCCCTGAACGTCGCTCGGACGGTGCAGGACATTTAGGGTGAGTCCAGTGTTTCCCTGGAGAACGGTGGAGATGGCAGCTGGTCCTATCGCTCCTTTTCATGGTTCCACGTCCATTTGGGGATGTCTCATAGTCATTTTATTTTTCCAGCAGGACGGAAAAGTCCTGATAGAGTGGGGACCAAGATCAGCTGGGCAGCTGCGAGATGGTCGAAGACAATCCTCCCTTGAACGTCGCTCGGACGGTGCATGGGGTTTTGGGTGAGTTCAGTGTTTCCCTGGAGAACGGGGGACATGCATGACAGATCTGGCTGTATAATTTTTTTTCATGGTTCTACGTCCATTTCGAGATGTCTCATAGTTATTTTATTTTTCCAGTGGCACGGAAAAGTCCCGATGGAGTGGACATCGGGACCAGCTGGGAGGCCGCGAGATAGTCGAGGACAGTCCTCGCTGGATGTCCCTCGGACGGCGTAGTAGGCCTTTGGTGGGTCCAGCGTTCCCCTGGAGAACGGTGGAGACCAACACAGACGCGGAATGGTCAGTAATTTATGGGTGAGACTAATTACCGGGGAATGCAGCTCCTCCAACTCACGGCCATTCCGTCCAGAGAGCGTCCAGGCCAGTTCCAGGCTCTCTGCTCTCCCACCGTCGTCGTCTCCCTCTTCTTCGTCCTCTTCGTCCCCGTCAGCCGCGTCTCTCTCCCCCGCGATGCTCACCCTGGAATTTAATAACCGGAGGACGACGGTGCGCTTCTCCTTCCACCTCGTCCTAGATCACCTCCTTCTCGCACGGATGCCGAAGA